CCGTCAGGTGTTGTATGTTGATTGGTGCTTCACTTTAGGCAGAGTTGATTTGTATGGAAAATAGTGATTGTCATTTTTAAACACGGTGAAAGCACAATACTTTTTGGAAATCTATAACCTTTAGCTGCTAATAGTTCAGTACATAGGACTGACCTGACAACATAGAAAATGTGAAGGATAAAGTTGTGCCGTAGTCCAACACACTTTCATACTAACATTTTACCTTTCAAAGCCATATTGGTGGAATACTGGAAATCAACTTAAATGCGGTCCCCGTGGCCAAAGTTGTAGCTGTGCCTCACAAATCCGACTCGAGGCCAACTCCTTTCTGAGACACAACTGGGCAGTTGCTGCACATCTCAACAAAACAGGAAATGTCATGTTTCCTCAGCTGCTTTTAGCAACAGTTTGCATCACAAGACAGTTTGCATCTGCACACACATACAAACACAATAAGCGCACACAACAGGCCCCTAGAGGCAGGGATGGTGTAAACCAAGTACACATAGCACCATCAGATTATAATGATGCAAAAAGGTCCAGCACATTTATGGGAAATCTTGACTGGCTTCCGAAAAATGTATAGCACGCAGTTATCAAATAAAATAAAATTGTATTTGTCACATGCGCCAAATACAACAGATGTAGACCTTACAGTGAAATGCTTACTTACAAGCCCTTAACCAACAATGCAGTTTTAAGAAAAATATGTGTTAAGTAAAAAATAAAAGAAATAAAAAGAAATAACAAATAATTAAAGAGCAGCAGCAAAATAACAGTAGTGAGGCTATATACAGGGGGTAGCGGTATAGAGTCGTTGTGCGGGGGCACAGGTTAGTTGAGGTAATTGAGGTAATATGTACATGTAGGTAGAGTTAAAGTGACTATGCATAGATAATAAACAGAGTTATTTATCACATCTGGTTTATTTTAACAGGATACAGTATGTTTGTTTTATGTTTTGTCAATGTGAGAAATCACCACATGTAGGGGAGAGAGGGGTAACTTAATCAGAACTCATGTTAACATCACAGCTTTGAAAACATAGCTTGTCCAAAAAAATGTGGGTAAGTTGAGCCGCTGGACAGGGTAAGTTAAGCCACCTACAAATGTCTGTACCTGTCACGTCTCCTCCCATTGCTCCCCTCCGGCGCTCTGATTCGCCGGTCTACTGAGCCACCGGTCTGAGCGCATCACTTCGGCAAACACAGGAATGGAAACCCAACGCACCCTAATCACCTCCAGCGCACCTGCACCTCATCATCTCATCACCACCCCTATTTAGCCCTGGACTGTTTGTTCATTGTTGTGTGTAATTGTTAGAGTCGTGTCGTTTATGTACGCGTTGGTATGCTCGTTGTCATTGTTAAGTAAACCTTTACCTTGTTAATTCCTGCTTCTGCATCCTGCCTTTCGTATCCTCAGTACTCGTCACAGTACCGAACGAAATATTACCACTACCTTTTTAAAACATGTCTATCTTTATTTCCCAAACACAATTCAACACAATCACAATTGCTTTTTTGTCTTTTAATCATTTTAAGCATCTTTTAACACAGGCTTAACATCTAACAAACATTTTGTACTTTTTTTTACACTATAACATAGGCCCTGTTGTTACCTCATAGCCCAGCGATAATGCCTTGCATTATGCCTGGGCAGTGGCGATTTTAGCATGTTTTTTTTAATGCATGCCAGCAAAGCCACTACACAAAAGAACACAACACTAAACAATACATTAATTGCACTATAATGGTGACAAACGGTGCCCACAAACTGTTAGGGCCTACATAAAGCTGTCCCAACAGCAGAGCTTTCTTTTCAGCACCATGGAGTGAATCCTTACCACTGCTACACCTGGCTATCAGCGGAGCCTTGTCTGGCAGCGAAACAGTTAATTCAGCCTCATTTACTGCCTTTAAAAAACATGGCTGATATGACTGACTTGCTTAAACAAATGTGCTTTCTACTGACAATTGAGATGTACAAACTATGGCATAAGGGAACGATGAGCGGATAAGAGGCAATCCGTAATTTCGATTAAGACATTAATGAGCGAGCTAAGACAGACGTAGTCAATATAACTATTTGTTCAGCACTTTGGAAATTTACAGCGACAGAATTCAGAACGTGGGCCGTTCTTACAGTATTCTCCCTGTACATCAAGTCAGAACTGTAGGATAAATAAGGGGGCATATAAGCAGACAATGAAAGCTCTTACAATATTTGTTGATGACATTTCTCTAAAACAGGCTATAGACTACATGTGTCCACCAAGTCAGAACAGTAGGCTAAGTTATGAGGGGGAAAGGGACCAACTTATTTGGGTGAGGCACATGGGCTACTAACAGTTTACTACACAACATACACTTAGTATTACTTTCTTAGCTACAGTATACATATCTCCCTGGCATATTACATAATTTATGCAGCAGCATACAAGACATTTTTGGACTCACCGTTGTGCTGTGCTCACTTGGACCGCCGCGCCACCTTCCTGTTCTTCTTGTGGGCAAATGTTTTCATTAAACTTTGTCATCAAGATATGGGAACTCTGAAAAAAAAAGGTTGAATCATGACTTCAGTGATCTTCAGGTCGGAGCTCTAGAAAGAGGCTTGAGTTCCTGACTTGGAATTCCGAGTTGGATGACCGTTCAAAACGTGTTTTCCCAGTCTGAGCTAGTTTTTTTCAGAGTTTCCAGTTGTCTTGAACTCACTGAAGTCTGCGATTTCCCAGTTCTGAGTTTCCAGTTGTTTTGAACGCGGCAGAAGTCATGCTGGATTGACAGCATGGCCAATATATTCAACCTTTTCTGGCCCATGGTGTTGCGTGTGAATGTTTATCCTTTTAAGCTTGGAAAAGAGACCCTTAAACCCAGACTTGGACCACACACCCTCTCCACCAAATAGCAGGGGAAGCAAAATAGTGATTGCTTTGCAACGCTTGCAGTTAGCCACTGATTCCTTCCAAACCACTCATTGTTGAATTTGCGATTTCCAACTTGTTGTCTAATGTGTATGTCCAATGGCTGATGAGCACCGATACGTTTTATCTATAATTTCTCTTCATATGACAAGGATTGAAAATGATTTGCCAGTAGATTGTTGATGTGATTCATGATGATGACTGCTTGTCTAGCTTGCTAGCTACAATTTTTTAAGTATGATGTTGACATGATCAGTCCAATCAAAGCTACGGTAGATATAACGTGATTTGACGTCCTTTTATCTGTGGCCAATGACCTTGAGCCTTCTTGGATGTGCACTTCTAATGTAAATCTATGGCAGCACCTGTCACGGTTTCGGCCGAGGCTGCCTCTCTCCCTTGTTCGGGCAGGCTTCGGCGTTCGTTGTCTCCGGAATACTAGCTGCCACCGTTGTATGTTTCATGTTCGTTTGCTTTTGTCTGTTTGTTGTCACACCTGTTCTCGTTTAGCGTAATTAGTGTCCTATAAGTTTCTCGTTGTGTTTGTCTAGTGTTGTGTGTTATTGATTTTGGTCTGTCGTGTGTAGGGCTTAATTAGTATTTTCGCTCGGTTGAGCTTCCCTCCACTGCGTTGGAGTGTTACGCACCTGTTTAGTGCGCTTTTGTTTTTGTTCGCCTTCGTGCGTAATTTCGCCTTCGGGCAAGAGTTGTCGTATTTCCTTGTTGGAGATTTACTAAAGTCTGTTGGACTATACTTCGGTGTCCTGCGTTTGATTCCACCACTGCACCCACCTACAGCACGCGTGACAGCACCCAAGGGGGCTTGAACTTTCTAGCTCTCCCTGTAGATTTTGCGGTGACGTAGTGTCCCCGTGAGTGACAGAACACTGAGCCAATCATGGCGCAACTACAGAAGATTACCAACCCCTACGCTCTGTATTTTCAGCTGGCTGCCCCTCCACCACAGAAAGCACTGAGCTAGGCTAAAACACCTGCATTTTGGAAAGCAAAAAGGAGACCATGTTTGTATGCAGCTTTATATGTGACACGCAAACTGATATGTGACACGTATTAATGCCAAAATGACATGCAAAACAGGCAGCAACAAAGAAAATATATTTCTTTATTAAAAAAAAAAAAAAATTGAAAACAGATGGGGCTCAAAACTGGTGGGGCTCTGCCCTGAATGATGGATCACCACTGCGCCTGGGAAGAAAACACTTTTAATTTGGTCAACTTGCCATTGGCTCAACCATTTACTCAACTTACCCCATGGCCATTGGCTCAACTTACCCCAAGGCAAACATTTTGACTATATTATCCCACACAGCTACAGGGATGCACTTTCATGCTAGGTTTTGGACCTAATAATATTGAAGCTTATAGAGTCCAAAACTGATATATAGAACAATCTTAAAATTATCTACTTTGGTTTAGATACAAGCATCATGAAACCTCTAACACAATAAATTCAAAATCTCAGGTTGTTCTGAAATTGTTTCTGTTGTTAGAAACAGATAACATTAGCATTCCTGCAACTTTATGTTGTTTAAATATTATTTGATCTCTGCAAAATTAACTTCATTGACTAATTTATCTGAACAGGAAAACAAAAAACATCACCAAATTACATAGGATGAAGAAACAATACTCGGCGCCGCAGCTCCATACTACCTGTCAAACATTGAGAACTGATACTATATACTCATTGTTGGGGTGGGATTGATGTGAGGATTTCTCATGTCTTACTCATTGTTAGAAAATACTTTGGTACTATAATTATTGAATATTATAATGAATCCTATAAATTAAAGTGGCCAATTTGGGTGCCAACAATTAGCTCAATTTCTCAGAGATCAAATTATATTTCAACAAAATAATGTTTCCGGAATGCTTATCTTATCTGTTTCTAGCTACAGAAACGATTTCAGAACAATCTGAGATGGTGGGTGTCATGGCTTGCTGAAATGACATGGAACGACCCATGTGCAAAACATCACACTTGGACAGAATGTACCACATTGTCTTAATTATTTGACCTTTCTTCCACAACACAGGGAAGGTGACTGAAATGTCAGTATGACGTGGGCCTCCAGCATTTCTTTTTAATGGCCTTGGGAAGCAGTCTGGGCCTGAAAGTGAGCAGGAAGATGACAGAAATCCCAACCAGGCAGAGGACAGGTACGATAAACAACAGGATGTACCAGTACACAGACTCCTCCTCACTCCCACCACATATTACAGGGTCTAAAAGCACCACTCTGTGTGTCCTTTTTGTCAGATCCTGACATGAAATGTCTGAGAGGTCAATGATATTGACTGTTTTCGCCCTCTCAAATGTCCTGTACCAGTCCAACTGGCAGCAGTTGAAAGTGTTTCCATTGAGAAAAACAGTGTGTAGTTTCAAGGCTAATGTGTTAGCCTGATCTAAGGGGAGAGTGTTCAGTTTGTTGTCCCTCAGGTCCAGCAGCCTCAGCTCCAGGTGTAGCAGTGAAGCAGGGAGCTGAGTAAGAGAGTTTCTGGAAATGTTCAAAGACTTCAAGTAGTGGAAAGGAGAGAAGTCAAAGTCTCTCAGGCCTGTGTTTCCCAATCCTAGATGGTGTAAAGTTCTGCTGAGGCCTACTATCGAGCTGTGCCCGATGATGAGTTCTGGGTTATTAGACAGCTCCAGGTGTGTTAGAGGTGTCCCTGCGAACGCTGACGACGGCAGCCTCCCCAGGTTGCACCCTGATAGGTGGAGCTGTCTCAGAGAGATGATGTTTCTCCAAACGACACAGTCTGATTGGTTACCCCCACCCATGTTCCCGCCCCCTTTCTCAAGGGAGCATATGCCAACTCTGTTAAAGCTGATATCCACAGAGCTGATGCTGGTGAGTGAGGAGAACAGTCTAGGAGGTAGACTCTGCAGGCCATTCTGGCTCAGGTTGAGATAGCTCAGGTTGCCTAACTCACTTAAACTACCTTGGTCAGCATGGAGCTCCGTTAATCTATTGTTGCTCAAATCCAACTCGTACAACGTCCCCGGAAGTTTTTCCAGTGTTAGATTTAAAACCTTGAGACAGTTTGTCTGCATCCTGAGTCTGGCCAGGCTAGGCATTTTGCTGATAAACCCTTGGGGGAAGTAGCCCACCTGATTTCCACTGAGATCCAGCAGGTCTAGAGAGGAGATGTCGCCGTGCAGGCTCTCGTCCCACAGCTGGGCCGTGACATTGCTCACGTTGCCCCTCAGGTTGTAGAACTGGACACTGGTGGTCCAGTTTAGGTAGCCAGCTGTGTCTGCCAGGTGTTCGTAGAAGCTCAACATGTTCTGGGACAGATAGAGGTTCCTCAGGCGGCTCTGGGTGGGCAGGAAGGGGAAGAAAAGGAGGTTGTTGTCGGTGAGATCCAGGGTCTCCAGCTGGAAGGTTTCCTGGAGGTCCTGGTTGGCTATGAACCACTCAATGACGTTGTGACTGGCGTTGAGCACAACCAGCTGGGTCATGTTGAAGTCCACAAGGCAGGGCAGGTAGTTGAAGGCCAGGTTTAGTTTCTGGAGCTTGTGCAGGTGATCGAAGGCCCCAACGATCTCAAACAGCATGTTCCTCTGCAGGTCCAGCTCTCTGAGCTGGTGGAGGTCGCTGAAGGAGCTTTCGTCCAGCCTTTGCAGGAGGTTCCTGGAAAGGTTGAGGTACTCCAGGGACGTCATATTCTGGAGGAGGACGGAGGCCATGTCATCCGTAAGCTGGTTTTCTGACAGATCCAGAACTCTGAGTCCAGACAGGGTGAGCAGCGCCATGCTAGTTTGCTGGTATCCAACGTGAAGTTTATTGGCAGCTAGATTGAGGCTCTCTAGATGAGGTGAGTTGTGAAAGAACTTTGACCCCACTGTCTCCAAGCGGTTTTCTGCACAGCTCAGAGTGCGAAGGAAGATGTAGCGGGAGAGGGAGTCATCTTGTAGCGTCTGAATGTGGTTATGTGTCAGGTGGAGTTCCTCTATGTTGTCCGGTAGGTCCCTCGGCACAGATGAGATCTCACTTTTACTACAGAGAGCAGTCTTTTGGGTCTGTAAAAAGAAAGGGAGAGAAATTAAGTGTATGCGAGATCAATACAATTTCAAATACTTCATTTTATATGTTAAAATACTTTAAACAGCAAAGAAAAAAGGTATTATACCACAAATCAGACCAGAGAGTATACGACGGATAAAAGTATTTAATGTATGCATGAACGGAAACCCTGAGAACCAGCAGTAGTAGCTGTTTCCATGATAGAATTACCTTTTCTTATATCTATTGTGGTAACTTATGCTCTCTCTTCCCTTCAGAAACCAGAGTGTATGCTGCATTTCTTATGAAGATGTCATCAGGCACTTTTTCACAGCTTTCAGTGAGAACCACAAGCTCTGAAGTTCATAATTCAAAGGAACTTTTTTACATGGTATTTTATTGTATGTTTTTTGTATTTTTGTATTGAGAGTGTGGGGCCTGAAATTATTGACACCCTTGATAAAGATTAGCAAAAATGTATAAAATAAATATTTCAAATACTGAGCTATGTTGTATGCCCTGAAAAAGTAGAAATTATATTATTTTATACTAATACAATTGCTCAGAGAAAGAGATTTTGTTTAACAAGTAATCATTTGTTTAGTACCTTTCAATAGCTTACCTTGCAAGGATAACGGCACTGAGCCTTTTTCTGAAATGTTTTATGAGTTGGAGAACACATTGTGAGAGAGCATAAAAAAAAGGAATATCGCTAGCATAACAGAATAAACTAATTTTGAATTACATACAGTACCTACAGTAGAAAAGAGGAGAATATCTTATTTCTAATTATGTCAACTTATTTCTTAAAGTACCAATGCAGCCATTTTTATCTCAATATCAAATCACTTGAGAAGGATTTTATTGTTTCAAAATGCCATCATTGCAGAGTTAAAGCAAAAGTATCAAAACATGCGCAGTGCCAAGGACAAACAAGTGGCTTCAAAAATGCTCAGAGGCAACATCCTGAGAAAGTATGGCCTAGTCAAAGCCGCAAACAGAGAATTTTGATTTTCAGCAAAAGCAATGAGGGCAAATGAAAACAGGCCAACAAGTCTTCAATACTCCAGGAAAAAGCAGTGTAACAGAATTAGCACAGCCACAGAAGAGAAAATCACTAGATTCTATGAACATGATGACAACAGTAGAGCAACAACAGGGAAAAGGGACACTAACGAGGAACAAGAAGAAAAAGCAGAAGCGCTTCTTGAATGGAACAATTCATTTTACATTTACATTTTAGTCATTTAGCAGACGCTCTTATCCAGAACTACTTACAGTTAGTGAGTGCATTCATTTTTCATACTCCTTTATCTGAAGTTTAAGATGGAATATTCAGATATTCAAATTTCCTACTATGAATTCTGCAAAAGACATCCTTTTTGGGTTGTCAAGCCAACAGTCCAGGATAGGGACACATGCCTCTGCAAAACCCACGCCAACCTCCAGTTCATGGTGGAAAAACTACATTGAGAACCTTATTGAGTCTTTGTGCTGTGAGAACATTTTACATTTTAGTCATTTAGCAGACGCTCTTATCCATAGCGACTTACAGTTAGTGAGTGCATACATTTTTCAAAACCTGAAGAAAGAGTGCATGTACAGAGAGTGCTCCCTTTGCCAAGCAAAAGAGCTTAAACATCTGACTTTGATGCTGGTGAGCAGACATGGTGGTTTGAGTGGAAAAACAAAGCTGAAGAGAGAGAGAAACATGGAGAAGTTCACTGTACATTTGACAGTAAAAGAAAAGGTGTGTGGCACACTGCAGATTCTACTGGAGGACTTCTCCAAAGGATTGAAAGAGAAGTTGGGAAAACACGTGTACAACATTCAACACCAATACTCCAAACTGAGAGAATTAAAAGAGAATCTGCGGAAAGAGGAGATCATCGTGCATATTGACTTTGCAGAGAACTACCTGTGTAAATACACCAGAGAAATCCAGGCAGTTCACTTTGGTGATTCTCACAAGCAGGTGACCCTCCACACCTGTTTTGGATATACCACAAATGCTTGAGCTCTGCCCATCGGCTACTTTTGGAATCTTACTTTGTCTTATATTAATTATATGTTGAACAATGGTTTTAGTTCAAAATGTTTGCAATAAAATATTGTTTTCATACGTTTTTTATTTTATTTCCACCACACCTTGTCTTTTCCACCACACCCATATTTTTGAGGTAAATGAGTATACTATGTATAATTTACATTGATTGATTTGTTGTAGATAGGGAAATCATATGGTTGTTATCATAATCTCACAAAACGGTTGGGTGGACATTTTAATTTTTCATGATAAATAAATGTTTTCAGCTGTCACAAAGGCAAGTTTATACATTCAGGGGTCGTGTTGAATTATTAATATTAGGAAAACCTTAAAAATCAATACAAGTTAATGTACAAATGTATAAGAAACGTGTTATAAATAAATTGTATGATATTTCATTTTCAAATAAAATTGATGTTTAATGACATGATGGAAATGACATTTGTCTATGGCTGTCTTGGAAAAATGACAAAAATATATACATTCTTGAATAGCACGATCGCAGCCATTATCAGATATTGTTTCTAGACAAATCAAAGACAATTATAATACTGGTAAAAGTGTGTTTCAATATGCTTTAATTTCTGAAATCTTGCAGGGCCAAAGTGCCCGAAGTTGCAGAATCACCCAGATACACTATTTAGTTGTTACTTTGTGCCCGTGTTACTTTGTGCCCCAGTCTCCCCTAGATCTATAGGTTTCAGGTTTTTTGCCAAGGTTTTCATTCTGTAACTTTGTTTTAAGTAGCTAGGCCTAAGGTCTGTGTGGTGCAGTGATTAAGAAACATAATAATAGGACATTTTCTGTTTTAACTACTTTAGAGGCTTTTTTGGTGAAGTAAAACATTTTCAGAAAACGTGTGTTGATTCAGCTGTCTAATGGATGAATTCGCTATTTGACTGTAATTCACTGTTCTGATTTCTGTTTAATTTTATTTGGTCTTTGGTCTCAAGCTATTTAAGCCATTTAATAGTTGTTGCCATTTAAACCACTCTTAGTAGACCTAGGCCTAATTTGGTCCCATTGAGCTGGTTGGTGGCCATTTTGAAAAACTGCTGCCTGTACAGTAGGCCTAATGGGTAAAATCTGCTATGTTTATTTAGACTTTTGCTGGCTTTCTGTAAAGGTTAAGTGGTCTCATCATAAAAGTATTTTGTGAAAATGGGTTTCCCCTCTGCTGGATTCTGCATTTCTATTTCATTATATGTGTGTCTACTGTCTACATGGCAGGTAGTAAAAACAAGAATAAAAAATACTATTTTTTTACCCCCTTTTTCGTGATATCCAATTGCGATCTTGTTTTATCGCTGCAACTCCCCAACGGGCTCGGGAGAGGCGAAGGTCGAGTCATGCGTCCTCCGAAACATGACCCGCCAAACTGCGCTCCTTAACACCCGCCAGCATAACCCGGAAGCCAGCTGCACCAATGTGTCGGAGGAAACACCGTTCAACTGATGACCGAAGTCAGCCTGCAGGCACCCGGCCCACCATAAAGAGTCGCTGGAGCGCAATGAGCCAAGTAAAGCCCCCACGGCCAAACCCTCCCCTAACCCGGATGACGCTGGGCCAATTGTGCACCGCCCTATGGGACTCCCGGTCACGGCCGGTTGTGACATAGCCTAGGAACGAACCCGGGTCTGTAGTGACACCTCAAGCACTGTGATGCAGTGCCTTAGACCGCTGCACCACTCGGGAGGCCCCAGGTTTTTTTTTTTTTTATAAACAAAAAGTCTATGTACTTTCCAATGTAGGCTAGGAGCATGAGGATGATTTTTTTATATTCACTGAAATCAACCGGTTGCAGCTATCACTTCCATTGATTGTTAGCTAGCTGTGGCTAAAGTTAGCTGAAGTTTGTAGTGGCTGTGGATTACAGTTTCACCTGGCTCATAGAATACTGAACTTTGGCTTTAAATATGGACTGAATTAATCAAACTGGTTCATTTAACCAAACTTTAAATTTAATTCAATCCATATCAATATCAAATCATTTCTGGGTCACAATTAAGTACCTTGCTGTGATTGTTTGAAATTAAAATGGTAAAAAATAAACAAACATTTCTTCTTAGCAAGAGCAATTTCTAAAGCAATAATTTTGCTAGGAATGTCTGGGAGTGGTTTGAGTGGGGAGGGGAAAACTGAAAATGTGCTGTTATTGGCAGAGAGGTTTGGAACTCTTTCTTAATAGTCTATGAACTAATTCACCGCATTCACTCCCATCAAAACAGGCAGAAATTTCAGGCGGTCTTTTCAAACAGCTCTTACACTGAAAGCGCATTATCATAATTTTCACAATTTCACAGTATTATTCCAACCTCATAGTGTGGAAATATACACTGAATGTACAAAACATTAGGAACAGCTGCTCTTTCCATAACTAGACTGACCAGGTGAATCCAGGTGAAAGCTATGATCCCTTATTGATGTCACCTGTTAAATCCACTTCAATCAGTGTAGATGAAGGAGAGGAGACAGGTTAAAAAATTATTTTTAAGCCTTGAGACATTTGAGACTTGGATTGTGATATTTTTGCTAACGTATGATGGGGGGTCCCAGGGTCGCCGGTGTTCCTGTGTAGGTACCTACATGTTTTATTGTTGTGGTTTTTTTTTCGGATGTATTCTCATTTCGACGTCAAACCCACGACTGATGTGCTTGGCCAAAGAGCTCTATTTTCATGTCATCTGACCAAAGCATCACTTCCAATCCAAGTGCCAACGCTGTTTAGCAAACTCCAGGAGTTTACATTTGTTGGATGACATGAAAATAGAACTCTTTGGCCACTCACAGCAGTTGTGGGTTTGGTGTCGAGATGAGCATGCATGAGCAGAAAATAACCCCATACCTACTGTAAAATATGGTGGTGGTATTTTTGCTTCCACTGGTCCTTGGGCCCTTGTTAAGGTCAACGACATCATGAACTATACCCAGTACCAGGATATTTTAGCCAAAAACCTGGTTGCCTCTGCCAGGAGTGGCTCTTCCAGCAAGACAATAACCCCAAGCACACAAAAAAATGTAATTGGCCACAACATTTAAATTTTTGCAAAGACCTGAAACCCATTGAAAACCTGTGGTTTGAATTGAAGAAGGCAGTCCATAAGCGCAGATCGAATTATATCAAGGATCTAGAAAGATTCTGTATGGAGGAACTGTTACGACTTCCGCCGAGGCTGCCTCCCCTCCTTGTTCAGGCAGGCTTCGGCGTTCGTCGTCACCGGCTTACTAGCCACTGCCGCTCCATATATCATCATTCCATTTGTCTTGTCTTGTCAATTACACACACCTGGTTCTTATCCCCTCATTAGTCCGTGTATAAGTGTTCCCTCTGCCCCCTTGTCCTTGTGGGTGATTGTTTATTGTGAGAGTAGTGTAGCTCGGTGGAGCTACTCGCACCTTGTATTGCCGGGGTAGATATTTCCCCTGTGCCTGTATATTGTTGGAGTATCCCGTACCGTGTATTGCCAGGGTAGATATTTCCCCTGTGCCTGTATATTGTTGGAGTATCCCGTACCGTGTATTGCCAGGGTAGATAGTTTCCCCTGTGCCTGTTTTCGTTTGTCGCTATCCAGCGCAATTGTGTACGACAGAATAAACTCTGTATTTGGTGATTTACCCTCCTGCGCCTGACTCCTTCTATCACACTCATCACAGGAATGGTCTAAGATCCCTCCCAATGTGTTCTCCAACTCATAAAACATTTTAGAAAAAGGCTCAGTGCCCTTATCCTCGCAAGGTGAAGTATTGAAAGGTATTGAAAACAGGGGTGTCAATCATTTTAAACAATCTCTTTCTCTGAGCAATTGTATTAGTATAAAATAATATATAATTTCCCCTTTTTTTGAGCATACAATGTAGCTTAGTATTTGAATTATTTATTTTATAGTCATTTTTGCACATCTTTATCAAGGGTGCCAATAATTTCAGACCCCCACTGTATACAATTTAGAAACCACTTAGAAAAGCTGTTATTCAATGTGCTAATGCTTGGTTAGTGTCTCTACATGCCTATCAGTTTTATTATTGACCTGTGAAATATTCTCCATGTGTCTAAACATATCATTTCTATCAGTAAAATTAGGTATTTTGATTTGTATAGTTGATGACAATAATTATTGTATTTTCTCACAAGATTCAGATTAGTATAGGCTCCTATCTTGCTGTAGATCACATTAAATATGAATGTTTGTCAACGTTTGGCATTGTACTTTATTGATTGCATATTTGGATTTCTGTGAATTTCAAGGTCAATCAAATTAATTTGTGACTTTACAAGTGTGCCACTCAATGTTATTTGTATTATTACTATTGTTAATAGTATTATTATTTATATTATTCATAATAGAATGCCGGGACATAAACGGTTCCTACAGTATCCTTAAAACCCTAAAAGGTTCCTCAGGGAAAAGGTTCCTGGAGGCACCTTTATGGGTTTCGCTGGTGTTGCAATCTGAGGAACCCCTGCAGGTGCCTCCAGGAACATTTTCTTTTTAGAGTGTATATTTGCTTCCTCTACACTCTAATAACTTGTTCAAGAAGTTTAGCTCTTACCAGTCTGCAGGGGCTGTGGTGAGGGTGGCAGAGGGCGGGCATCAGCAGGCTCCACAGGGGCCAGAGGGTGAGACAGATCAGGGTAGGGAGGAGGCCGTGGATGGGCATCTTAACATCCTCACTGTGGAGGAGAGAAGGGAGCAGGAGAGGACTGAGACTCAGAAAAGGAGAGGTAGTCTATGGTTTCCCAAACTCGTTGATGAGAAGTCGAAGGAGAATGGCAAGAATTGTGCAAGTTGTCCAGGCAGCCCACAAACAGGCAAATAACGGCGCAGTACAACTTGTCGATCCTTGCCACAGATGGGCTATTGCAGCAGATGACCACACCGGGTTCCACTCCTATCAGCTAAAAACAAGAAGAAGTGGTTCCAGTGGGCACGCGATCACCAACACTGGACAATTGAGGAGTGGAAAAACATTGCCTGGTCCGACGAATCCCGGTTTCTGTTGCGTCATGATGATGGCAGAGTCAGGATTTGGCGTAAACAGCATGAGCTCATGGCCCCATCCTGCCTGGTGTCAACGGTACAGGCTGGTGGCGGTGGTGAATGGTATGGGGAATGTTTTCCTGGCACACCAATTGATACCAATTGAGCAACGTTTTCAAGCCGCAAAAAATTCAGGCTGTTCTGGAGGCAAAGGGGGGTCCGACCTGATACTAGATGGATGTACCTAATAAACTGGCCACTGAGTGTATGCCAGACAATACAACACCAACGCAGTCTCTCACCCATACGAATAGAATAACAGCTGTATATCTCCGTTATCTTTTAACCTTGATAAGCATTCAATTAATGCTTTTCATACTGTAACCATCAAATCTGAAAAATTCTATCAAATCTATGTGGCACATAGGTCAATTCCACTATTCTCTGTTGGAAATATATGTTACATAATAAGTTGTGTTATCCTATGTGCACTACTGTAGTAATAAGACAGTATGAGGGTTTGCGCTCAGGCTAAAAACAAAGGTGACCGGTGCGTATGAGAAATAATACTGTACAGTGAGGGAAAAAAGTATTTGATCCCCTGCTGATTTTGTACGTTCGCCCACTGACAAAGAAATGATCAGTCTATAATTTTAATGGTAGGTTTATTTGAACAGTGAGAGACAGAATAACAACAAACAAATCCAGAAAAACGCATGTCAAAAATGTTATAAATTGATTTGCATTTTAATGAGGGAAATAAACATTTGACCCCCTCTCAATCAGAAAGATTTCTGGCTCCCATGTGTCTTTTATACAGGTAACGAGCTGAGATCAGGAGCACACTCTTAAAGGAAGTACTCCTAATCTCAGCTTGTTACCTGTATAAAAGACACCTGTCCACAGAAGCAATCAATCAATCAGATTCCAAACTCTCCACCATGGCCAAGACCAAAGAGCTCTCCAAGGATGTCAGGGACAAGATTGTAGACCTACACAAGGCTGGAATGGGCTACAAGACCATCGCCAAGCAGCTTGGTGAGAAGGTGACAACAGTTGGTGCAATTATTCGCAAATGGAAGAAACACTAAATAACTGTCAATCTCCCTCGGCCTGGGGCTCCATGCAAGATCTCACCTCGTGGAGTTGCAATGATCATGAGAACGGTGAGGAATCAGCCCAGAACTACACGGGAGGATCTTGTCAATGATCTCAAGGCAGCTGGGACCATAGTCACCAAGAAAACAATTGGTAACACACTACGCCGTGAAGGACTGAAATCCTGCAGCGCCTGCAAGGTCCCCCTGCTCAAGAAAGCACATATACAGGCCCGTCTGAAGTTTGCCAATGAACATCTGAATGATTCAGAGGAGAACTGGGTGAAAGTGTTGTGGTCAGATGAGACCAAAATTGAGCTCTTTGGCATCAACTCAACTCGCCGTGTTTGGAGGAGGAGGAATGCTGCCTATGACCCCAAGAACACCATCCCCACATCAAACATGGAGGTGGAAACATTATGCTTTGGGGGTGTTTTTCTGCTAAGGGGACAGGACAACTTCGCCGCATCAAAGGGACGATGGACGGGGCCATGTACCGTCAAATCTTGGGTGAGAACCTCCTTCCCTCAGCCAGGGCATTGAAAATGGGTCGTGGATGGGTATTCCAGCATGACAATGACCCAAAACACACGGCCAAGGCAACAAAGGAGTGGCTCAAGAAGAAGCACATTAAGGTCCTGGAGTGGCCTAGCCAGTCTCCAGACCTTAATCCCATAGAAAATCTGTGGAGGGAGCTGAAGGTTCGAGTTGCCAAACGTCAGCCTCGAAACCTTAATGACTTGGAGAATATCTGCAAAGAGGAGGGGGACAAAATCCCTCCTGAGATGTGTGCAAACCTGGTGGCCAACTACAAGAAACGTCTGACCTCTGTGATTGCCAACAAGGGTTTTGCCACCAAGTACTAAATCATGTTTTGCAGAGGGGTCAAATACTTATTTCCCTCATTAAAATGCAAATCAATTTATAACATTTTTGACATGCGTTTTTCTGTTTTTTGTTGTTGTTATTCTGTCTCTCACTGTTCAAATAAACCTATCATTACAATTATAGACTGATAATTTCTTTGTCAGTGGGCAAAATCAGCAGGGGATCAAATACTTTTTTCCCCTCACTGTATATACAGAGAGTTCAAAAGGTACTCGCACTCAAACCATGAAAATGAATAACCCAAGGAGGCTGAGATGCAAAAATAATATACTTAATTGAATACATGCTTGTCTGAAACGTAAATTATTTTATGTTTTATTTTTAACACATTTCACTGTCACCCTTTGTATTCTTTCGAGCATGGATTAAATGAAGTAGGCCTATATCATTTTTGCCTCTCGGCCTCCTTGGGTTACTCCTTATTATGGTTTGAGTGCGAGTACCTTTTGAACTCTCCACTACTGTAGTAATCAAATACATTAATTATGAATAATCTATAATCTATTTATAAATCCAAAGTATTGAATTGACATATTAAATATCTGAACAAATAATGCACAGTATAATGCTTTACAAGACGTTTACTAATAGTGAAATAAACAAATAAATAATAGTTTATTAGAAATTTATAAGCAGATTGACAAATACAATGAATTAGCATAGACTGTATAAAAATAAGGATATTAAGCTACAAAGTAACATTCTTTGACCTAAGAGCATGAATGAAAATAAATTCAAAGTTACACTTTCTGTTCTGATATTACAAGTATGTACTGAGAAAAGTGTCATTTGCGCGGATGTTATTCATTCATTACTTTGTTACACGCTGTTGAGTGTAAATAGCTCACACACAGATAGAGCAAGTGCACAGTGCACCATGCATCCACTACTTACGCTGGTGGTTAGGTGTGTGTTCTTCTAGCAACTTGACGGTTGAGCTCCTGACCATATCTCTGGTTTGTGCGACGCAGCGTCGGTCGGTAGATCGGTTCTCATCTATGTGGAGCCGTGTGTGTTCTCAATATAGCGGAGCCGTGCTTTTGTATTTGCGGAAGCAGGCAAGCAACGGAAACCAAAGTCACATGGACAAGCAAGATCATACATATAGGTTCGCATGCCTTGGTCAGAGACATGCATGTCCTGTACTGCATTACACATAATGCATTGGAACTAGAAGATGCAATATATTTTTATGTGATGCATTTCATGCATGCCCATAGTACATCAGTGTCAACTTATGATATTTGCAGATACTTAAGGCTTACATCAAATGTAACTTTCTCACGTATCTGTTTCTATTTGGGAATTCTGGGTTAAAATACCTTTTTCAAAGTATTTTAAAAATACTGTAGTAATGTGAAGCACCTGCCATCCACACCATGATTTGTCTGTGCATGTGTTTGTGTAGGATTCTCTTGTCTACTACGAAAACCTACCGACAAAAACCCTATTCTCACCTCTCACTCCTGTTTCTGAACATCAGATACTACAGAGGAAACCACTCAACACTCACACCCTTCCTGCCTAGCTGACACTTTTGCAACAGCGAAGAGAAAGATTTGATTCTTGGCAATTAGTTCAGCTACTTTGACACGTCATACTCAACCATCCCTCTCATTTACCATGAACCATTGGAAGAGAAACAGCTTTTTTTCCGTAGCCTAGTATCTGGTTGTGGTCTTACTGACCATGACATACGTGTTTCCCTCAAAACAAATTAAAATTGGTGCAGCCCATGCGCTCTCTCTATCTCCACTACACACATTGAGAAAGTACAGGTAATCACGTTTCATTCTGTGGCCTACAGCGTAGTTTGTGTCATGTATTTTCCCATAGTTCTGGAATTAGAATCAGGAAGTGATGGAGCTACCATTGCAGTGGTGATTTGTTGGGGCTTCCTTCCTGTTTTCATGCTATGAGTTCTCTCCTCTCACTCTCATTTCTGACTTGATTAAGTGATTGGCAGCTGAAACCAGCTTTACGCTCAGTTGAATTCATGAATTCAGTTGCCATTAATTTTTCATAGGCTTAGCCTCACTTCAAATATTAGGCCTAGGTCTCTTTTCTTCCAATATCCCTTTTAATAAGACACATTTATGCCTTGTTTTAAAAACTGTACACAGTACTAACTACACACACAGACATCCCTCATGTTCCCTGTGTGTATGTTGTGTGTGTGTGTAGCATTGAGGTAGAACACCACTGACATGCTAAGCTTTCATGTGGTTAAAACACACACACCCAGGAAGCTTGACAAACTGATATATTGTGGCAAACTACACTGAACAAAAATATAAACGCAACATGCAACAATTACAGTTTGTATAAGGAAATCAGTCAACTGAAATAAATTGACTAGGCCCTAATCGATGGATTTCACATGACTGGGAATACAGATATGCATCTGTTGGTCACAGATACCTTAAAAAAGAAGGTAGGGGTGTGGATAAGAACCAGTCAGTATCTGAGGTGACCACCATTTGCCTCATGCAGCGTGACACATCTCCTTCGTATAGAGTTCATCAGGCTGTTGATTGTGGACTGTTGAATGTTGGCTGTGGAACACGCTGTCGTACACGTCGATCCAGAGCATCCCAAACATGCTCAATGGGTGACATGTCTGGTGAGTATGCAGGCCATGGAAGAACTGGGACATTTTTAGCTTCTATGAATTGTGTACAGATCCTTGCGACATGGGGCCGTGCATTATCATGCTGAAACATGAGGGGATGGTGGTGGATGTATGGCACGACAATGGGCCTCAGGATCTCGTCACGGTGTCTCTGTGCATTCAAATTGCCATCGATAAAATGCAATTGTGTTTGTTGTCCGTAGCTTATGCCTGTCCATACTATAACCCCACCGCCACCATGGGGCACTCTGTTCACAACGCTGACATCAGCAAACCGGTCGCCCACATGATGCCACACACAGTCTGCCATCTGCCCGGTACAGTTGAAATCAAGATTCATCCATGAAGAGCACACTTCTCCAGCGTGTCAGTGGCCATCGAAGGTGAGCATTTGCCCACTGAAGTCGGTTATGACGCAGAACTGCAGTCAGGTCAAGACCCTGGTGAGGACAACGATCACGCAGCTGAGCTTCCCTGAGACGGTTTCTGACAGTTTGTGCAGAAATTCTTCAGTTGTGCAAACCCACAGTTTCATCAGCTGTCCGGGTGACTGGTCTCAGACGATCCAGCAGGGGAAGAAGCCGGATGTGGAGGTCCTGGCCTAGAATGGTTACATGTTGTCTGCGGTTGTGAGGCCAGTTGGACACACTGCCAAATTCTCTAAAACAACGTTGGAGGCTGCCTATGGTAGAGAAAATAACATTCAATTCTCTGGCAACAGTTCTGGTGGATATTCCTGCAGTCAGTTTGCCAATTGCACGCTCCCTGAAAACTTGAGACATCTGTGGCATTGTATTGTGTGACAAAACTGCACATTTTAGAGTGGCCTTTTATTGTCCCCAGCGCAAGGTGCACCTGTGTAATGATCATGCTGTTTAATTAGCTTCTTGATATGCCACATCTGTCAGGTGGATGGATTATCTTGGCAAAGGAGAAATGCTCACTAACAGGGATGTAAACAAATGTGCACAACATTTGAGAAAATTAAGCTTTTTGTGAGTATGGAACATTCATGGGATCTTTTATTTCAGCTCATGAAACATGGGACCAACACTAACATGTTGCATTTATATTGTTGGTCAGTATATATCAGAAACCTGGCACCACTTTTCACCTGCTTTACTTAAGATAACCTGGGGCATCGGAAATGACCTAGAGACCTACACTATGCTGCAGTTAATTCAGCCCACAAACACCAACTGTATGAGAAAGTCAGACAAAACAGAAATCATTTGACTGTAGATAAAAGGAGAGTACAATATGACTAAAGACAATTTGGGAAGTAAGTAAAATAAAGGCATATTAAAATGTCAGTGGGTGGTTCTTATTTTATATAGAAGTCAATGATTGCCCTCTTGTGGAAGCATTATGAAACATCATTCAATCAATTACAGACTGGCACCAGGTAGACTTTATTTTTAAGGTTCCATGACCTCTTCAATAGTACCATGGATTAAAACCTAGAAATAAATATAATGAAATACTATGATGAATACCACCACAATTAAAATGGATTCACAGTAGCATTGAACAGAAAATAGCGTAGTCTCCTCACTTCTGCTCTCCTATACAATGTATCTGGAGAGGAGACGTTTCAGTTATACTGCAATGACTAGCTTTTCTACTGAAGCAGTCTTTTCCAAGTGTCCCATACGGTATATTCCTCTGAAGTGTCCCCCTTGCTGTTCCATCCATGGCAGTTACACGTGTGCTCTAGAAATGTTACAGCTTGCATTGTCACATATACATTATTATCATTATGATGATTTGTGATTTCTGTCTTTATTTGCCACAGTTCATATTTGGTTTTGCCTCATAGGAACAGACATAATAAAACAGGACTCAGTGTTGTTACTTCATAAAATAACATAAAAAAGAAGTCAAGTCCTCCTGTACTGTAAATAAAATGGTCCAGCAGCTGAAGTGGATAGGATCCATGTTGAGACAGAAACACTTTTGAAACAACCCCTGGTCCCCCACCCTCCTCCCCTCTTGTCCATCAATGATCACTTCCCCCACCCTGGTCAAACCCTCTTCCATTCCTGTGGTTGTGGAATGTTCGTTTAGAGTCCTCTCAGTGCCAACCATCAGTCATTATCCTTGGCACACCTGATGTGACATGGCACCGGCTGGTCTTGTGGCGGTGCTACCCATCCAGAGGCTTGCCCAGGTAGACCATGGTCACCTCAGTGTTGCCATAGACAGCTGAGACGGCCGGGAAGAGGCAGGCTTTGGGCAGCCCTCGGAAGGCCACTCCCAGAAACTCAAAGCCTCTCTCGAAGGCCAGGGTCTTGTCATCCATGTCAAGAATCACTCGTATCCTCTCCCCGATCTGTGGACGGACACCATTACACTAGAAAGTAATATAACAATAAGTAACAGCTACAATACAGCAAATGGCTTCACTTTAACCCTACAATTAATACATGATTACTGTTAAGAGAACTTCTAATTTAAGGTAGCGTTCTTCTTGTCATGCGTTCTACTGCACAGGCCTAACATCCCACAAATGTTTATCTAATATTTCAACTAGAATCACTTCATTGGGATGGGTCATCGGCCTAAAACAATGGCTTAGAGCTTCAATAGGACATTTTAGTTCATGCATACAGATATGTTGTCTATTCCTCTGTCTGCAGCCAACCCCATGGTGACGAAGTCCCTGAACTCCGGCACTAAACTAGCTGTTGTTTTCTGTTGCAAAACGTTTTGCTACGATGTGCACTTATGAATACGACCCAGGAGAAACACGTTGTTAACCTACCTGGTATTTGGGTGCATTGTTGCACTGAGGGAAGTTCCCGTTGACCTCCCCGTTGTGGAGCAGGTTGTTATCCACCAGATTCCAGCCCCAGCTCTGGTCGTCACTGCCCAGGAGGGCCACGTAGCCCTGGCATTGCATGGCAGCACGCTTGGTGGCAATGCCAATCACCGCCACGGTCCCCAGGGGCCCCTCCCACCAGATCTCCCAGGCATGGCGGCCCTTAGAGAAGCCGATCTTGCCGCGGGCTCCGTCTGTGCTCTGGGCGATGGGGTTGCGGTGAAGGGTGAAGCCGTTCTTCTTCACGTAGACGTTGCGTGAGCAGTCATGGGAACTCAGAGCGTGCTGGTAGGACTTGAGCTGCAGGACAGGAGAAGCAAACAAAGATGTGTTATGGTTTTGAAGAGGATCAAGACATCAATCCAAGTGATTAAGAGCAGAATCAACATGCATACCAGCAACTAAAAATCATTGCTATTCCATTTTACTTAAAATATCATCTAATTCAAGAAATTATTGCACCATGCTTATGGCTCTTATTTAATGCTGGCGTTGCTGCATAAATAAACAACTGGGCGTGTGTGTATAGACGGCTAGCCACTAGTCTGTGCATGACAGACATGGTAACTCATACCATTGATGAGTATCCTAGGCTATGATTGAATGGCAAGTTAATGTGTGCTGAAAGTGGGTTTGTGAGCTTTTCACAATGTGGTATCTTCTGGATTGAAATCAAAGTCTGTAACAACAGCTATAGGCCTTCACTTTGGTCTTCAAATGGTAAACAAACGTTAGCTACCTTTCCCTTGTATGTTGTCAGATTGCAGAGAATGTCGGAGCGCAGTGCCTCTTCACTAAGAGAGCGAGCGCACAGACTCCGCCACACCTCGCTGTTCTCATCCGCGAGGCAGTTGTTCCAGTGCCAGCACACCAACGAGCACCGCATCAAATCATACAAGTCCAGATAGGAGAACACATGCTCCAGAACCCGACTAGGAAGCCTGCCTGCTATTCCCACTCCTCCGCCCGCTGCAACATAGGACAACCCAGCTGAGTTACAACTGGCAGCGGCTGCGCCAATGCAAGAGGACGCCCCTTCAGCGGCTGCTCCCGACATATTTGCTCAATTGAGTTCACCGATTGATGAACGGTGTTTTTACAGCATAAATTATTAACTAAAATGAATTAAAATGGACCATTTCTAACAACACGATACTAGCTAAATCACGGCGGTGATATTGTTATGCATTTAATTCGATGGACCCAGACCGGGTTGGTAAAGTAGGAAGACAAACGCGAAATCCAGTCAGGTCCCAAAAATATTTGAATGGCAATGATAAATCATGCATTTCTAAATTAATCTAAATTAAATATTTATTCTTATCTGCAATCTTCAATTATAAAGAAGGAGACAGAGATAATCCCATAAACAACGTTTTGTCTTGAAAATTACAACAGGTGTATTTTACTTTGTGTTCCTGTTAGGACCTTTTTCGGACATCCAGCGCCCCTCGCAGCTGATCTACAGTCAGTTTAGATTTTAACCCACTAGAGTCCAAACTCAAATTTGTAGTGTGGTTTACTGATTGATCCTAGATCTGTGCACAGGATCAATTTCCATTCTGTGGATTGCCCTAATAGTGTAATACACATGGTTGGAATTGTCATTAGATGGATGCAAGAATGCTTCTTTCAGATTTGATAGCAGTTTTGTAGGAACAATTTATTGCTGAGCAATGCCAGCACCTAAACAGGTCCAATATGATAACTTGTACAATTTCCTAATGATTTGGTTCCAAACAGACGATGCCTATGCATCAGTGTTTTCTTTACTCTACTTGGGTTATATAAAGGTGTATAAAATGTTTTACATAAATGCTGTCCCAGACCCAGAGAGAAAGCAAAGCGAAAGTCACCTTTTTATACAGTACCACATCATTTTACATGGGCACGATGAGCTTCAAGCAGCGTTCAAAACAACTGGGAATTCGGAACTCGAAATCGCTGAATTCCGATTTCAATGCGTTCAAGACAACTGGGAACTCGGGAAAAAACGAGCTCCGACTGAGGAAATGTGTTTTGAACAGTCATCCAACTCGGAATTCCATGTCGGAAACTTGGGCATCTTTCTAGAGCTCCGACTTTCCAACCTAAAGATCACTGACCAGATCCCAGTTGTCTTGAGAAATGGGAAAGCCTCGTAAATGGCGTCCCTTGAGAAAGCAAGAAACAGATGTATGTCAGGAGAAGTGCAGTATTATCATAAGGAGACGTATACTTGGATGGCGGAGGAGGAATGGAGGGAAAAAGAGAGGCAGAGGAGGTCTAAGAGAGAGAGGGAGGAAGATTGTGAGCTTGAGTCTGTAAAAAATGGTGGGAAAAAGGGAGAAGGTTTGTTAAATAAGAATGGTAGGAAATGTAAGCAAAGTGAGCTGAAGACAGGAGGAGAAATGGAAGTGAATGAGGGTGAAGTACTCAGAGCCCGAGGCTTGCACAGAGGGTCAGGATAAAGATGAGTCTGTGACAGTAAAAGTGAAGTTTTTGGAAAAAGTGGACCCTTGCCTCTTGGCTGATCCATTTGTGGTTTCAGGATGGGTGAAAAAAGCGTTGGGTATAGTGGAATCGGTGAGGGTAACCAGAAGTGGTCTAGTGATAATTGTTTGTGTTTCTGTCAGAGGTAGAAGGCGCTCAGAGTTAAACAAATGGGGGAAAGAATTGTGAATTGTTTCGCTCTCAAGAAAAATGCACCATTGAAAGGAGTGATTTCTTAGGTAGCAGTAAATGTAAAAGTTGCCCAACTGAAGGGGAAGATTCCCGGAGTTTGTGATGCTCTTCGTTTGGTACGACGCAAACAGGGTGGCGTGAGTGGGGAAACAGAATAGTCATTGTCTGTTCTTTTGAGTTTTGAAGTTGAGTCTTTGCCTGACAAAGTTAAGTTAGGATATATACGTTATCCTGTACGAGCTTATGTGCCGAATATATTACGATGTTCAGGTGTCAAACTTATGGGCATGTGGCAGCAGTGTGTTTGAGAGAGGTTCCAAGGTGTGAGAAGTGTGCAGAAGGGCATGAGACAAAGGAATGTGTAGCATTGGGGAAAGTAGTGGTATGTGCTAATTGTAGGAGTGCCCATGGGCCTTGGGATCAGAAATGTCCCGTGCGAGAGAGGCAGGTTGAGGTTTCCAGGGTAAGAAAGAGTAGTGAAGAAGTTGTCATATGCTGAGGCAGTGAAGAAAGTAGAGGAAGATGGGTCAAGGGGGAGGAGTGGTGAGAGTAGTTGATATGTACCAGTACAGAGGGATAGGCCAACAAGTGATACAGTGGGGAAAAAAAGTATTTAGTCAGCCACCAATTGTGCAAGTTCTCCCACTTAAAAAGATGAGAGAGGCCTGTAATTTTCATCATAGGTACACGTCAACTATGACAGACAAATTGAGAGAAAAAAATCCAGAATATCACATTGTAGGATTTTTTATGATTTTATTTGCAAATTGTGGTGGAAAATAAGTATTTGGTCACCTACAAACAAGCAAGATTTCTGGCTCTCACAGACCTGTAACTTCTTCTTTAAGAGGCTCCTCTGTCCTCCACTCGTTACCTGTATTAATGGCACCTGTTTGAACTTGTTATCAGTATAAAAGACACCTGTCCACAACCTCAAACAGTCACACTCCAAACTCCACTATGGCCAAGACCAAAGAGCTGTCAAAGGACACCAGAAACAAAATTGTAGACCTGCACCAGGCTGGGAAGACTGAATCTGCAATAGGTAAGCAGCTTGGTTTGAATAAATCAACTGTGGGAGCAATTATTAGGAAATGGAAGACATACAAGACCACTGATAATCTCCCTCGATCTGGGGCTCCACGCAAGATCTCACCCCATGGGGTCAAAATGATCACAAGAACGGTGAGCAAAAATCCCAGAACCACACGGGGGGACCTAGTGAATGACCTGCAGAGAGCTGGGACCAAAGTAACAAAGCCTACCATCAGTAACACACTACGCCGCCAGGGACTAAAACCCTGCAGTGCCAGACGTGTCCCCCTGCTTAAGCCAGTACATGTCCAGGCCCGTCTGAAGTTTGCTAGAGTGCATTTGGATGATCCAGAAGAGGATTGGGAGAATGTCATATGGTCAGATGAAACCAAAATATAACTTTTTGGTAAAAACTCAACTCGTCGTGTTTGGAGGACAAAGAATGCTGAGTTGCATCCAAAGAACACCATACCTACTGTGAAGCATGGGGGTGGAAACATCATGCTTTGGGGCTGTTTTTCTGCAAAGGGACCAGGACGACTGATCCGTGTAAAGGAAAGAATGAATGGGGCCATGTATCGTGAGATTTTGAGTGAAAACCTCCTTCCATCAGCAAGGGCATTGAAGATGAAACGTGGCTGGGTCTTTCAGCATGACAATGATCCCAAACACACCGCCCGGGCAACGGAGTGGCTTCGTAAGAAGCATTTCAAGGTCCTGGAGTGGCCTAGCCAGTCTCCAGATCTCAACCCCATAGAAAATCTTTGGAGGGAGTTGAAAGTCCGTGTTGCCCAGCGACAGCCCCAAAACATCACTGCTCTAGAGGAGATCTGCATGGAGGAATGGGCCAAAATACCAGCAACAGTGTGTGAAAACCTTGTGAAGACTTACAGAAAACGTTTGACCTGTGTCATTGCCAACAAAGGGTATATAACAAAGTATTGAGAAACTTTTGTTATTGACCAAATACTTATTTTCCACCATAATTTGCAAATAAATTCATTAAAAATCCTACAATGTGATTTTCTGGATTTCTTTTTCTCATTTTGTCTGTCATAGTTGACGTGTACCTATGATGAAAATTACAGGCCTCTCTCATCTTTTTAAGTGGGAGAACTTGCACAATTGGTGGCTGACTAAATACTTTTTTCCCCCACTGTATGTGTTTCAGTGAGATTGGATTTTTAGCATTTATAGTAATGGTTATTAATTGTACTGCAGGGATGGAACGTAAGTCGAAGAAAATTGAGGTTGTGGTGGCAGCTGCAGAGAGGTATTTGGGTGTGCGAGACTTGACATCAGAAGAGTTACAGGGAGTATTAAGTGGTGATGTCCCATCATTTCAGGTTGAGGGAATGAGGTAGGAATGAATATATTTAAATAGTGGAGTAGGGTGGTGTAAATTATTAATAATTTGAATTTGTGAGTGTAGTGTTAGATGGTAGGGTATTTTTTTATTTAATTTTTTCAAGCAAAATATAAGGGAGTACTCCAGTCTAGTAGGTGGGGGTAATGCAACAAATTGGATGCCAACCGCCGTTAAACCTCATCGAAGAAGAAGAAGAAGAAGAAGCAGAAGAAGAAGAAGATGAAGAAGAAGACAGTTGTCTTGAAAGCGCCACAAGCTGTACTCGGAAGTGACGCTGGTTGTTGGATCATTTTTGTGTGTAGTGAGCCAATCAGAAAATAAGTATCAGTGAGAACCAAAATACAATACCCAAAAGTAAAGAGTACAGCCAAAGAACAGCAGTCGTGGGAATTCAGAGCGTGCTGGTAGGACTTGAGCTGCAGGACAGCAGAGGCAGACAAAGATGTGTTATGGTTTTGAAGAGGATCAAGACCAATCCAAGTGATTGAGAGCAGAATCAACATGCATACCAGCAACTAAAAATCATTGCTATTCCATTTTACTTAAAATATCATCCCATTCAGGAAATTATTGCACCATGCTAATGGTTCTTATTTAATGCTGGCGTTGCTGCATAAATAAACAACTGGGCGTGTGTGTATAGACGGCTAGCCACTAGTCTGTGCATGACAGACAGGGTGACTCATACCATTGATGAGTATCCTAGGCTATGATTGAATGGCAAGTTAATGTGTGCTGAAAGTGGGTTTGCGAGCTTTTCACAATGTGGTATCTTCTGGATTGAAATCAAAGTCGGGCATCTTTCTAGTGCTCCGACTTTTCAACCTAAAGATCACTGACGAGATCCCAGTTGTCTTGAAAGCGCCACAAGCTGTACTCGGAAGTGACGCCACTGCATTTTGTGTGCAGTGAGCCAAGCAGAAAATAAGTGTCAATTCAACCAGAACCAGTGAGAACCAAAATACAATACCCAAAAGTAAAGAGTCTAGCCAAAGAACAGCAGTCGGAAACGGAGAAATTACAACTGTGAGTATCATTGATAACTAAAGCTAACATCACAGTTGACATCTATTGTTAAACCTGTTGCCAATATTGGCAAAGACGAAGAGGTAGTTGAAGGGTGACTGGGAGAGCAAGTACAAGAATAGAGATAGATGCTAAAAGCCCGGCCCTTGTGTTTTTGTGGAGTTACTGCAGCGCCTATTGATAAACGCATGTTTGTTAGCTAGCTAAGTTAGTATAGCTACCTGATGGAATTTATCAGCACAGACGGACAATACATTTTTTAAAATCTAGTTTGTTTAAATCTAGCTTGCTAGCTACGCTAGGCATTTTATCTTTCAATAACCAACATACATTTAGCTAGCTAGCCACTGCTGCGATCAAGGCAAGGGTCCCATTACGTGTACCTCCAGGCATCAAGCGAAAGGGCGCAACAGGATAGCTAATTATGAATGACTAAAAATCCTTGATCAGTGTAACGTTAGCTAGTTAGCCAATGAATAAAAGACAAGGCTTTTTACAATCTGCATCAATCTTCTCAACAATGTGTCTTGTCTTTGCAGTATCTGAAAGGAGTGCATTATGAACCCAGTGTACAACCCTGCACCAACAGGGGTCCCGTATGTCAACCCTAAGGGACATTTAGTAGGATACCCAGGTAAGCAGTGTAACCAGTGTGTAATGGATTGGAAATGTAAACCACCCAAACAGACCAGTGGGTAATTAACACACACTGTTTCTCAATGTATGTCTGACTCTTCTGATTTTCCTGACACTTATATGACCTTTGACCCTGCAGCTGGATTTCCTGGGGGGTATTCGGCCGCCCCTGTTTACACTCCCAACATGTACCACCCTGGAGCCAACAACCCATCCTTCCCCACAGGTAAGTTATCAGTCCCTCTCAGAGAGCTGCATGTAGCCTACTCTTGTGCAGTGAGTGCATATATTTTTTGTGATCCCTTAGGAATTGAACCCACAACCTTAGTGTTGCTTACCAACTGAGCTGCACAGAGTCGCATCAGTTTGGACGGGGGGGTAGGAACGTGCTGCCGATCATGGGATCGTTCCAATAGATTACTCAAGGCTAAATCCTGACCTGAATTGAGTCAGTCTAACAAAAATCACAGTCTTAAGCATAGTAAGTAGTGCATCAGAAGCTTTAAGGAGTTCCTGGCACCATGGGGTCATCAACTTTGCTTTAGCTAAACATGGAGAAACAGACAGCTCTCAGGAGAGATGATTATGTTATTCAGGGCTGTAAAAAAGCCAAAAGTTTCTGCCTCAAGTCTTGTTTGCCAGCTGCACATACAGTATTTTACTGTTCACTGAAACTCCCTTCTTTTGTGTTGTTGTCCAGATTCAGAGAGGTGTCGGACAATAGTCAGTCCCGTTACAAGCCCTTAGGACAGGGATCATCAACTAGATTCATCCGCAGGCAGATTTCTGTTCTTGAGCGGATGGTCGGTGGGCGGAACATAATTAAGCCCGAGGGGGTGTGGTATATGGCCAATATACCACGGCTAAGGGCTGTTCTTATGCATGACGCAACTCGGAGTGCCTGGTTACAGCCCTTAGCTGTGGTATATTGGCCATATACCACAAACCCCAGAGGTGCCTTATTGCTATTATAAACTGGTTACCAACGTAATTAGAGCAGTAAAAATTAATGTTTTATCATACCTGTGGTATACTGATATACCACGGCTGTCAGCCAATCAGCATTCAGGGCTTGAACCACCCAGTTTTTAATTACAAATAATTTGTAGACTGCACATTGACTAAAACATAATGATTTAAAACATTGCTTGCATGTATATGATCACATTTTACATTTTAGTCATTTAGCAGATGCTCTTATCCAGAGCGACTTACAGTTAATGAGTGCATAAAACACATTTTTTATACTGGCCCCCCGTGGGAATCGAACCCACAACCCTGGCGTTGCAAGCGCCATGCTCTACCAACTGAGAAACACAGGGCCCATTATTGTATATGTCTCTATTATTCGTGGGGATACTTGGGAACAGATTTCTTAAATGAAAATCACATGGAGCTTATTTCCTGGTGTTTTTACAACCTTTTATGTCCAACAATGGAGGAAAAAAAGTAATAATATTTTATGTGTAGTAAGTGTGAATTGTTTGGTTTTCCCTGTTAAAATGTGTAATACCCTAGACGGTGTGTTAACAACGCCACTCCTCACTGTGTGTTTATATCTCTGAAACCCTCTCTTATAGGTTACGCTCCGGGCACTCCTTTTAAAATGTCCTGCTCACCCACCACGGGGGCTGGCCCACCCTACTCCTCGTCACCCAACCACTATCCTGCAGCAGTCTACCCTGTGAGGAGCACCTACCCCCAACAGAACCCCTACACACGGGTCAGTTAGTCAGTCAGTTAGCCAACTGACATCATCTACCTCTACCATCTGAAGTAGTACAATGTAACTGAACCTGTTTATCTTATTTTCTGTACTGCAGAATTGGTATTTATAGCTGCATTGTTACAAGGTCATAACAGTTACATAGGTCAGACGGAATATAATAATATCTGTCTGCCAAAGCCAATTCGGATACACATTAGCTTGCTGCTTATTGCTGCTGTAGTTGTACTTGTCTCACTGTGGCACTGACATTTGTATTTGTATTGGTATTTATTAAGGATCCACTCTTCCTGGGGTCCAGCAACATTAAGGCAGTTATATACAGTTAAAAATATTACATGACATAACACTTTCATAACTCTTTGCCCTCTCTCTCTCTCCTCTCTCTCTCTCTCAGCAGCAAGGCACTTACTACACACAGCCTCTGTATGCAGCCCCACCCCATGTCATTCATCACACTACAGTGGTCCAGTCCAATGGGATGCCAGCAGCCATGTATGCCCCGCCCATGCACCACCAGTCCCGCCCCCACAACGGCATTGCCATGGGGATGATAGCAGGGACCACTATGGCCATGTCAGCTGGTGAGTTCCATTTAGACATTATTTTATGCGTTGACCATTAAAAAAAAGTAATAAATGTAATACATACAATCCGGTCGCAACAGTGTTAAATAAATGGTTTTTGCTTTGTCTAATTTCCTGACTTCACCCACCTCCTTCCTTTCTCCAGGAACTTTGTTAACGCAATCCCCGACCCCCCTCGCCCCCCACCAAGTTACAATGCCCACATACCGACACCCAGGCGTGCCCACCTACAGCTATGTGCCCCCCCAGTGGTAAAGTGATGGCACTGTGAGTACTGAGTACATCCTCCATATCATATCCTTCTTGTTCTCTCTGGTCAATATGGATGGGAGAGAACACTGGGAAACAGCACTGACACTAGAATACATAATGGTTACAATTTATAGTCATGAAATAGATAGTCATTTATTTAAATGAAGGTAGGGTATTTATTAAAACATTTTGGGAAAGGTTAGCAGTAGGCAATAGCTTAATGTCAATTAGGATAATACCCTCTGTTAGTATAAATACATTTATGTGTAGAAAGACCAACAGTTACTGTGTATTAAATCAACTGTTTCTCTGCTTCTCTTCAGGTCAGAAGATGGTAGATATGCATTCACACTCCAGTCCAGTATTCTACAGCTGGTGATGATGCACGCTCTCCGGTGTCTCGTATCAGCTGTTTTTTCCTTCCTTCCTTCCTTCCTTCCTTCCTTCCTTCCTTCCTTCCTTCCTTCCTTCCTTCCTTCCTTCCTTCCTTCCTTCCTTCCTTCCTTCCTTCCTTCCTTCCTTCCTTCCTTCCTTCCTTCCTTCCTTCCTTCCTTCCTTCCAAGCATACTGTGAATCTGAAGCCCAACTACACAACAACAATAGGTCTGTTCAGAACAGGATGAAGAGAATATTCCCACTCCTGACTATTCCTGTTTTGAATAACACTGTCCCAGAATCCTTCACTCACTCTGCTGCATATCTTGCGTCTGACAGCTAAGTGTCCATGCAAACTTGTGTTTTGTGTACTGCCCTGTGATTTTTATAGCTAACTTTGTTAAGTGGTGAAAAGGGAGTTTGAATTTGTTTTGATTTTGGCATCCATATCGAGTTGAATGCATGTGTGTATATACACTGAGTGTATAAAACATTAGGAACACCTTTGCCCTCAGAACAGCTTTAATTCATCGGGGCATGGACTCTACAAGGTGTCAAAAGCATTCCACAGGGATGTTGGCCCATGTTGACTCCAATGCTTCCCACAGGTGTGTCAAGTTGGCTGGATGTCCTTTGGGTGGTGGACCATTCTTGATACACACGGGAAACCAATGAGTGTGAAAAACCCAGCAGTGTTGCAGTTCTTGACACAAACCGGTGCACCTGGCACCTACCACCAGACCCCGTTCAAAGGCACTTAAATATTTTGTCTTGCCCATTCACCATCTGAATGGCACACATACACAATCCATGTCTCAAGGCTTGAAAATCCTTCTTTAACCTGTCTCCTCCCTTTCATCTACACTGATTTGAAGTGGATTTAACAGGTGACATCAACAAGGGATCATAGCTTTCACCTGGTCAGTGTCATGGAAAGAGCAGGTGTTCTTAATGTTTTGTACACTCAGTGTATAAGAAGAAATAACGCTAGCTCAATCTACCTTCCGTGACTAATGCAAAATCATCAAAAAGGAAATATCCGAAGGAGCTACAAAAGAAAAACTGCAAATTTGAATCACTGATGCCATTTCTTAATGTGAAACGCTAAAAGAAAGGAAAACGTTTTATTTCATACAAACAGGTAACTTAAGTTTACCCACAAAGCTGTGCAGAACAATTATTTTCATTACTTGTTTTTGGTAATGTTGCTAGGATGCTATTATTTCTCTGGGGGATGCTATGTCAACATTTGTCTTTCGGCCATTTTAGTATTTTGGGAAGGTGGGGCTTTTTGAGTTTTGAGCCTCTGTCTCAGATGTCTGATATCCATTCCAACACTAAATCATTATTCACTCTCTTTGCCCATGGACGATGTGAACACAGACTTGAGTCCCAAAGATAGTTTCCTTTCCCTTGGACCATTAGCCTAAGAGGCCCTAAATAGTGCTTGACTTGGGCAGGAGCGCACCGGACCTGAGTACCGGCACCTCAAATGTTTTACTGCTTGAGCTCCTGTTCCTCTTATAGAATATTAGCTAAAAAGTATTGCAGAGCTCCGGCACCCAAAATGAGTACCGGAACCTATTTAAGTTCAAGTCAAGCACTGGCCCTAAAGAAAGCTAGCAGAATGACACAGACCTGTCATGACATTTGATCTATTACTGGTCGCAAATGAAAGGATTTGAGAAAAGGAAGCTATTTAGAACTATTTGGACTCCATCCTACAGACAGTGAGTGATTGAGCGAGAGCATTTGTATGCATGTGAGCGTGTTTGTGTATAATTCTATTTGTTGAAAGAGGATTAAATACTAAAGCCATTGTACATACAGATGTAATGTATGTATCATACCTGAACATTTCTACAGATTCCTTTCTGTCATTGGTTTGGGTTTAACCACACCAAGAGCTACAGACTTTAGAATCACTGCAAACCGGAGACAATTTAACAGGTTTTAAACTTTTATTTGAATCGATCAAATCGATTATAAGTTGCTTAGCACTACTGGAAGAAAATACACATTTGAAATGCTCTGTTTTAAGGAAGCCAGAACTTGACATTGTTTCATAGTTACCTCAAGGCTCCACCAGAACTCACCGATATATCATTGTCTTTGATTTACTCGTCTATATTGCCTATCCAAGACGTCACCTCAGTTACTGAAGCTGTTTTGCAATGTTTTATGTGTTTTGGTTTTTTATTTTCAAGAAAGACCAACAAATTCAATTATGAGAATTGTCAGTGGTTTTTATTTAATAATTTAATTGAATCATGTCACCTTCACATTTCTGGGGGCCCAGGTGATATGGTGTTTAAGCTGACCACTATAACACATGCTCCAAGCTATGTCCTCTGATGCCTGCATCTAGCTAGCCCATGGTTATGCCTTTGTTTTGAGGTTCACTGCAGTAATCTGGTCAGATAATGCAAGTCATTGTTTAAATGTCCACTAGGTGGACCCTATGTCTCATATCTGCCTTCAGCGTCTACACATTGCATTTAGTCAAAGTGTGTATTGGATGATAATGTTAGTATTTTGTTGGAATATGTGCTAGTCTCTTTAAGATTTCTAGTTATGTAGAATGTGTGTATATACAGTTGAAGTCGAAAGTTTACATACACTTAGGTCGGAGTCATTAAAACTCGTTTTTCAACCACTCCACAAATGTCTTGTTAACAAACTATAGTTTTGGCAAGTCGGTTAGGACATCTACTTTGTGCATGACACAAGTAATATTTCCAACAATTGTTTACAGACAGATTATTTCACTTATAATTCACTGTATCACAATTCCAGTGTGTCAGAAGTTTACATACACTAAGTTGACTGTGCCTTTAAACAGCTTGGAAAATTCCAGAAAATTATGTCATGGCTTTAGAAGCTTCTGATAGGCTAATTGACATAATTTAAGTCAATTGGAGGTGTACCTGTGGATGTATTTCAAGGCCTACCTTCAAACTCAGTGCCTCTTTGCTTGACATCATGGAAAAATCAAAATAAATCAGCGAAGACCTCAGAAAAAGAATTGTAGACCTCCACAAGTCTGGTTCATCCTTGGGACCAATTTCCAAACGCCTGAAGGTACCACGTTCATCTGTACAAACAATAGTACGCAAGTATAAACACCATGGGACCACGCAGCCGTCATACCGCTCAGGAAGGAGACGCGTTCTGTCTCCTAGAGATTAATGTACTTTGATGCGAAATGTGCAAATAAATCCCAGAACAACAGCAAAGGACTTTGTGAAGATGCTGGAGGAAACGGGTACAAAAGTATCTATATCCACAGTAAAACGAGTCCTATATCGACATAACCTGAAAGGCAGCTCAGCAAGGAAGAAGCCACTGCTCCAAAACCGGCATAAAAAAAGCCAGACTACGGTTTGCAACTGCACATGGGGACAAAAATCATACTTTTTGGAGAAATGTCCTCGGGTCTGATGAAACAAAAATAGAACTGTTTGGCCATATTGACTATTGTTACGTTTGGAGGAAAAAGGGGGACCTTGCAAGCAGAAGAACACCATCCCAACCGTGAAGCACGGGGGTGGCAGCATCATGCTGTGGTGTGCTTTGCTGCAGGAGGGACTGGTGCACTTCACAAAATAGATGGTATCATGAGGAAGGAAAATTATGTGGATATATTGAAGCAACATCTCAAGACATCCGTCAGGAAGTTAAAGCTTGGTCGCAAATTGGTCTTCCAAATGGACAACGACCCCAAGCATACTTCCAAAGTTGTGGCAAAATGGTCAAGGTAAATCAAGGTATTGGAGTGGCCATCACAAAGCCCTGACCTCAATCCTATAGGAAATTTGTGGGCAGAACTGAAAAAGCGTGTGTGAGCAAGGAGGCCTACAAACCTGACTCAGTTACACCAGCTCTGTCAGGAGGAATGGGCCAAAATTCACCCAACTTATTGTGGGAAGCTTGTGGAAGGCTACCCGAAACGTTTGACCCAAGTTAAACAATTTAAAGGCAATGCTACCAAATACTAATTGAGTGTATGTAAACTTCTGACCCACTGGGAATGTGATGAAATAAATAAAATATTAAATAAATCATTCTCTCTACTATTATTATACATTTCATATTCTTAAAATAAAGTGGTGATCCTAACTGACCTAAGAAAGGGAATTTTTACTAGGATTAAATGTCAGGAATTGTGAAAAACAGAGTTTAAATGTATTTGGCTAAGGTGTATGTGAACTTCCGACTTCAACTGTACATACACAAAAGTATGTGGACACCCCTTAAATTAGTGGATTCGGCTATTTCAGCGACACCCATTGCTGACAGGTGTATAAAATCGAGCACACAGCCATGCAATCTCAATAGACAAACATTGGCAGTAGAATGGCCTTAACGTGGGACTGTCATATGATGCCACCTTTCCAACAAGTCAGTTCGTAAAATTTCTGTCCTGCTAGAGCTGCCCCGGTCAACTGTGTTGTTATTGTGAACTGGAAATGTCTAGAAGCAACAATTGCTCAGCCGCGAAGTGGTAGGCCACACAAGCTCACAGAACGGGACCACCGAGTGCTGAAGCGTGTAGTGCTTAAAAATCGCCTGTCCTCGGTTGCAACACTCACTACCGAATTCCAAACTGCCTCTGGAAGCAACGTCAG